ACTGGTGGCTCCAGAGCTGTCCTTGGTTGCTTGAGCTTGGTCATCATCTTCTGCTGAAGAGTTTTCCTTATCAGCTTTAGGTGCCTTGGCCACAGCTGGAGCTGGAGCTATAGACTTAGGCTTAGAGAAGTCCAGCGGAATGAGCACCTTGTCCACATGATAGATTGCAAGAGTCTTATCTGCGTACACAATGCCTGTGAGAGTGGCATTCACCTCCCCAGTTGAAATGTTCACACTGTTACCGTATGCTGTCACGTTCAGCTGATACCCTGTGGGACTGTCACTGGCCAGTGTCAACACAGGATTACTCAGAGCGTCAAAGTTTGAGCTTGACACATAAACGGGAAGGACATGATACTGTATCAATGCTTTCTGTTGTCTGTCTCCCAGGGAGTTGAAGTACCCTGCTTTGAGTTCTGAGAAGGCACCATCATCTGGTGCAAGGATGGTTAAGCCTCCATTCTTTGAGGTGACAAGCTGTGCGTTCACTTGGTTGATGATTTGGGTGGTTTTCAGCAACCGGATTAGTGTGTTGAATGACTTGGCCTTCCTCAGGATCTTCACGATGTCTTGGCTGCCAGAAGAGTCAGCACCTGAAGAGGGTGACTGGGGTAATGCCGGGACTAACGGCTTTGCAGGGGCGGGAGCTGGTGTAGCAGGCGCAGGTTTTGAAGTTGCAGGTTTCGCTGGGGCTTTAGGGGCTGCAGCTGGTGACTGAGCTAAATTGGTGATAGAGAAAAAGGGGGAAAGTAGTAGGAGTGAGAAGAAGAGTGTTTGCTTCATCTTTTGTTGGTAATTGTAGGGTGTAGGGTGTAGATTGATTTGCTGCTAAATTGCAGATGAATTGGGAATTTTTATTGCAAAGAATGTTTTGATGTGCGAAGGGTGAAATGGAGGAGGGTGTTTATATAGATGCCAAGTGAAAGACAATTTGTGGGTGTAAATTATTTTATGGTTGATATCTTTTCTCCATCTGTTAGGAAATTAAGGTGGTATATCAAGGCAGATAAAGTTGATTGAGAAGTGATTTGGCTACTGTATTGCTTGGCCTTTCCCTTGGAAATGGAGGGAAAACTGAATTTAAAGTGAGATCTCAGTTGGTTGTGAGCTGATGAAAGATGAAGACTTGCGCAGGAAAATTAAGTACCCTCTGTTATCATTCAGGTAAACAGATGTTATATCAAATCAGTCACAATTAAGCAAGCTGCAGTAACTTTGAAAGCCTTTAACTATCGTTTGTTTCAATCAATCATCAAAATCCAGGTTGAAAAAGTAAGAAATCAGATCAAAGCCAGGCTCATTAGCCACAACATTCTATTATGGATTACATACTTTCTTCCATCTTCACTTTTCCTGGACACAAATGGTTTCTGAGCTTCAAGGGAACATAAAAGACAGGATTATTATACTTTCAGTTAAATAGTACAGGGTAGAAAACGATGTTATTGTTTTGAGGAAGATCTGGGGATTGGGGCTTGAACGAGGCATTGTTTTCTATTTGTTATCTTAAATTTCTTTACTAATCTTTATTATCTAGGAATCTTTGTACAAACAAGCTAAGTTATCCTTAGAGTAAGACTCACAAGAAATAATTAGTTGCAGTGTTTGATTTGGTTGATCAACACATCAGCAGAGCCCGATAACAAGACTATTTTGCAACCTTTATGGTGAACTCCAAAAGGGATTCCTACCCTATCCAAGTTAAGTCCAGCATATAGATCATTTAAAATGATGAGGATCCTCTTCTCTTTCCTTATCCTATCACACAGAAGTTTAGCTCTTCCAACCACAGTCTCCTCACCAAATTGCAAACCTAACATCTTACCAAGCTCTCCTTGAATCTTCTTCAGGTCTGGCTTTTTTGTGACACTTGCGATCACAGTTACATCAAACAAGTTATCTCTCTTCACTCTTCTGGACATTTTCTCAATCAAGTTGTTTGTACGCAAAGTGCTTGATCCATACACCCCAACCATGTCAATGTTTGGATTTTCTAGGGCCTCCATTGCCTCTTCCAGAGCCATGTTTACCAATCCGGAGACCTCTGTACAATTGCAAATTATTGCCTTTTGATGTAAGAAAGAATCAAAATGTACAATCGACATATTGCTCTCGCTGAGTTCCTTTTTTTGGGATTCCAATCTGTGCTTGTCACCGAAATGACATGCTTGTCTCCCAAATATTTTAGCAGTTGCAAGAGCAGCCCCCATTGAAAAATATGACTTGATTTGGTGTGGTGTGAAGGACCAACTTTCGTAAAAGTTGAGTTTGTGAAGGGTTTGAATATATAAAGGAAAAAAGGAATAGCAGAAGTGATATACTCCAATGACCGAAAAAAGGATATGCGAGAGTTGTATATATGGTGCAAAGATCCATTTATTGTAACAAGCTTCATTTGCGATGTATATTATAACCGCGTGATAAGACTTCCCAAGATGCACCAAATATTACGTTAAAACCGCGTTATAATCCTCAGTGTTTTTGTTTTAAATTCAACAATACCGATCAAGAAGGCAATTTCTTCTACTCGTTTCCTTTCTCTTTTCTATATTCCTTTTCATGCTCACTTCTTTCCTTTCTATTTCTATGGTATTTCAATACGCTAAAATTTTCTTAATCATAGCAGGAGTCGTGCGTATATTTCATATGAGTATTCATTTGGTTGACTTTCGACTCACTAACAAAAGGTTTACCATCTTTCTTATAGTTTTATAAACTTTAAACTTAATTCAATTTTATAAAATTACTTCTAAATATATTTAAAATAGTAAAACAATTTCAACTGATTTACGTTTCCAATTTAAAATAGTGTTTTTAATTTTCTAACACTAACTTATTTTTAAATAAACCACTTTTATTAAATAAATACTCATTTGCCAATTTTAATTAAAAAAACAATGATAATTATATTTTTTTTTCTAATTTTTTTCTTCACCTCTTTTTTGAAAATTAGAAAATAAAAAAGAATAACAAAATCCAGTTGAGAATTTTCGGTAACCAAATTCAAGCTTTTTCAGCCCCGCTCAATCACTGCTCCACATTGTTACCGGACAACAATTTTCGGTGGGAAAACATCCCAAAAAATGCAAAATGGAGGTTGAAATTCGATCACTAAAGAGCCAAATTTCAACCAACAACAATTCTCCTCTACGAGCTCACCAGCAACAAAGTAACACAAAACCTTGCCTCGTTCCCGGAGAGTGGGTCCCGGGGAGCAGCGAAAAATACCTCCGGCGCAAAGAAAGGCATGTGCAAGTTTGTTTGCGAGAGCCAAGTTCTTGTCATAAAGACTAAGGTGGTATACTTTGAAAATTAATTTTGCAATGGGCCTCTTAATTGGGAAAGGGGTTTATTTGGAGAGAAAAATTGCGAAATTGTGACTTTCGATTTATAGCTTTAATAAATTTCAATTTATACCAATGGATTGTTTAAAGTGAATGTTGGTGGCAATTCTCTTTGAAATATACTCTTTTGTGTTAGACAAAAAACATAGAAGAAACATGGAAATGGGTGTTCTTCATCACGACATTGTAGCAGCTGCTGCAAGTAGAGCAACTCCAAAGGACACCAAGGTTGTCCCATGAATGATCGCATCAGAGCTGTCCTTGGCTGCTTGAGCCTGGTCATCATCTTCCGCTGAAGAGTTGTCCTTATCAGCTTTAGGTGCCTTGGCCACAGCTGGTGATGGAGCTATAGTCTTAGGCTTAGAGAAGTCCAAAGGAATGAGCACCTTGTCCACATGATAGATTGCAAGAGTCTTATCTGTGTACACAATACCTGTGAGAGTGGCATTCACCTCCCCGGTTGAAATGTTCACACTGTTACCATATGCTGTCACGTTCAGCTGATACCCTGTGGGACTGTCACTGGCCAGTGTCAGCACGGGGTTGCTCAGAGCGTCAAAGTTTGAGCTTGACACATAAACGGGGAGGACATGATACTGTATCAATGCTTTCTGTTGTCTGTCTCCCAGGGAATTGAAGTACCCTGCTTTGAGTTCTGAGAAGGCACCATCATCTGGTGCAAGGATGGTTAAGCCTCCGTTCTTTGAGGTGACAAGCTGTGCGTTCACTTGGTTGATGATTTGGGTGGTTTTCAGCAACCGGATTAGTGTGTTGAATGACTTGGCCTTTCTCAGGATCTTCACGATGTCTTGGCTGCCAGAAGAGTCCGCACCTGAAGAGGGCGACTGGGGCAATGCTGGGACTAATGGCTTTGCGGGTGCCGGAGCCTGTGCAGCTGGAACAGGTTTTGCTGGAGATTTAGGGGCTGCAGCTGGTGACTGAGCTAAAGCGGTTATTGAGAAAATGGGGGCAATTAGAAGGATTGAGAATAAGAGCGTTTGCTTTATCTTCATGTTGGAAATTGAAGGATGTGATTGCTTTGCTGCTGAAGTTGTAATGGCAGGCAAAGAATGTTTTGATGTGTGGAAGGAAGAAAGCGGGAGAGTGCTTATATAGAGGTCAAGTGAATGACAGTTAGATAGAAGGTGTAGTTGTAAAATAATTTATGGTTGTATTGTTTGAGGGATATCTTTTGTTCATCTGTTAGGAAGATTAAGGGGGTATATCAAGAGAGATAAAGGTGACTGAGAAGTGGATTTGGGTGGTGAATGAGCTTTTGCTTGGAGGTGCAGGGAAAATTGAATGAGAAGTGAGATCTGAATTGGGTGTGTGCCGATAACGTATGCACACTATAGTGCAGAAAAAGGAAACACTCCCTCTTATCTTATCATATTGGTAAGCTGATATGACATCAAATCAATCACAATTAAGCAAGCAGTAGGAACTGATATAACCATTTTTACCATTTCCTACGAGTAATAATCCAAAAGCCAATTTGGGAAATAAAATAAATGCCTCACTTCCCATCTCGAACAAATAAACACAACATAAGTGGTTGCTTCCAGTGCCGTGTTTACCAAGAATGCTAGAAGTAAAGCGGAGGTTATAGTGAAGCAAATTAAAGTCCGAAACTAATATATAGCAGAAGCTGATGTACCCAAATGGCCACACCCAGCTTATGAAGTGAGTATTGAGCATACTTGTTTTTATATTTAACATTTTAAGATATAATATATACGTATCATCACCATCATACTTTATTGCTTGAGAAAAACAATTAAGATTCAGACAGGAGAGTGCTCAAGATAATTAAGATGCAAAAATCAGATTGTATAAGCTCCCCTCTGAAGTTGGGAGTTTAACTCTTGGTCTGTTTTCACTGTATTGTTGAAGTGGAAGTCAACGAGTGAATTTTCACGAAATGTTTTGGTTTCCATATGATAATTTAAAAAGAAAGGTCTCCAAAGGATTCTTCTAACTTCAAAACTTAAAACATGAGAAAGAAAGTGAATGAAAATCACTTCAAAAATAATTTCAATAAAAAAAATAACTAGATTTTTTAGTTGAAAGGCCTGATAAAAACTTTCTCAAATATTTGATACACAATATAAACAAGAGTGTTGCTCCATGTACATCACATCATCCTTCAACTCCTATTTTACAATTTTGTCCTTCATTTATTAAATTTTAATTAAGTTTAATGATGATTTAACGATGCTCCAACGTTTAATAATCCCAAACCCCCCTTATTTTTATAAATCCTACTTGCACCCCTTTTTCTATTCCATCACTTTTTTTACTTTTGTGGCATTTTCTTCACTTTTTTTTTGTTTCACTTATTTAAGCTTACCTTCTGAAAGTGATGATACATTGGTAGTGATTTTGATCAACTTTGGCGATAGCTGTGTTGTGTGTGGTGTGATTCTTGGAGGAGAAAGGCCGTAAAAGAGATTTGTGCATTCGAAAGGCATTGAGGTTAGTATATAATATGCCTATACGTCCTTACTGGCATTGCAACTGAGGTTAAAGATGCACCGGCGTTAAGACGCTGATTATGCATTGCCGCACCTCGAACTTCGGCAACCCTCAACCGAACTTCGAAGTGCGGTTGAGGGTGAGCGTGTCGCACTACCAACTTCGCTTAATACTTTTATCATGTTTTTATGTGTTTGTATTATGTTTGTTTAATACGTTATATGTTTATGTTGGTGATATATTATGCTGTTTTTTATACTATGTTTGATATATTATGTTTCTGGAGATCGGGGCATCGGGGCATGGCTCAAGAATCACCTACTTGAAGAAACCAATTACATTAGAATGAAACCACAAAGTGGATAGTACATAACTGAGAGAAAAAGTCACGTTTGAAAGACAGATTATTGAGAATGGTGATTCAAATATTCTTGAAAAATTCCCAGCAACATTAATATTTGCACCCATCACATTCTTGAAAGTAATGCTACCAATAACTGGAAGTGCACTTATGTTAATGGAAATCGGAGTATCTATCATGCTCTATATAAGAAATGAAGATACTTTTCATAGTAAAAGTAATTAATATGCTTGGAACTATGCCATTTGTTTAAAGGGATTCGATTAAAGGGATTCGGCAGGTGTACGAGAAGTAATGTTCTAAATTCGAAATGCACTAATATTCAACCGGTGTTGAAAGTGTAACAGTATTGGAATTGTCGTAAGATAAACATGAAAATTAAATAAAAATTAGAGATAGATGACGAAATAGATAAGATGTTGAGAGAATCTATAAATAATGTAACCTTTATTTTATAATAAAAACTTAAAGAGTTATGAAATTGAATGGAATAAAGTTTATTATTTATTTTTATTTTACTAAGGGATTGCATTTCATTAATATTTTAGTCAAAATTAGCATTAATTTTCAAAATAGTAAACTAATATATTGTTTTATAAACGAATTTACACGAGCTAGAATTGAAAAGACCGAAAAAGAATTAGTAATTAATAATACCACAAATAGAAGGAAGAGGTGACGGGGAAGATCAGTGTGGGTGACTCAGCTCCATAGTTTATACATGCGTATGCCACACCTTTGTCAAAACATCGAAAATAGTTAAATAAATAAGAAAGAAAAAATAAAATGCAAAAGACAACACAGTCACGCAATTTTCTTTTGGATTTCTTTTCGTTGCGTTTCGTTTCTCGAATTCCTTCCTTTGTTTCTGGTTTTCTCTGGTTTTGGAACATTTTCTCTGGGCCTCTCTCGTTAGGGCAAAACCATGAACATCTTCAGGCTCGCCGGTGACATGACCCATCTTCTCAGCATTCTCGTCCTCCTCCTCAAAATCTACGCCACTAAATCATGCTCAGGTCACTCTTCATTCTTATCCTTATTCTCTTCCTCTATTTTTCTTCTGCTTCCCCAAAAATTCGGACTAATTTGCATTCTATTTTCAAATTTCGATTAGCGACTTCACTCCCTTAGTCACATTCCTTCGCCAACCAAAAATTCAGGATCAATTCTATAACTAAATCATTTCCGTTATTTCGCCTATTTAACGGAACTGTTATTCTTTTTGGGGTTTCAGGGATTTCCCGCAAGACTCAAGAACTGTACGCAATTGTGTTCATGGCTCGTTATTTGGATCTGTTCACGGACTTCATCTCCGTTTACAACATCTTCATGAAGTTGATTTTCATTGCCAGCTCCTTAGCCATTGTTTGGTGCATGCGTTTCCACCCCGTGGTCCGGAGAAGTTACGATAGGGAACTCGACACTTTTCGATATTTTTTTCTTGTTGGGGCCAGCTTTGCCTTGGCACTCGTCTGGCACGACAAGTTCACCCTTCAAGAGGTCCATTACTACTTTTTAATTCGCTCCCCCGTTTTTTACCTCTATTCTCTTTTACCCTGTTTGGTAGAGGCTACTTTCTAATTCCTTTTGAATATTATCTTCTTCTTTTTTTAGAGTTTTTGCATTGTGACTGTGTACTGTATGTAGTGTCTACTGGCATGGATTGGCTTTTTGTTGGTTACGCTTACCCAGGCATCTTGTTCTGTATTTGAGTTGTGGGGTTTTACTGTTTTCCATTTGTGATGTATTTCTGGTTTTAATCGTTGTGCATTTCTTCAAATGTTTACTTCTTTAAAAGAAGGCCATTGAAAGATGTGTTGTATATGTGCATTGGTGTATATCTGATTGACTAGATTGATGATTGATTTGTCCGGTTCCAGTGACCAGGCTTAGATAAGCAGATGGTTGAGTTCGTGAACGAAGGTGCACCCTTGTTTTTTACTGCTCAGAAATGTTATGACTATGAACTTTTGTTAATAGAAATGACTCGTTACCCATGGAACCTCATTTTCGATGTTTTTTTTTTTAATATATTTTCAGCAGATACGTTTTCACTAATAATTACAAAAATGCCTCTCTGTTCCTAGTTCATTTCCTACTTTGAGAAGGAAATGCAAATGGGGAAAACAAATTGAAGTTGCGTTTTTGTAAATATTAATGAGATCATATTAACTAAAATGGAAACTGAAAATAAACCAAATATTATTAAGTTATATTGCAAATTTCCTTTGCTTTTGAAATTTGAAATGGTTGTTTTTCAGTTGAAATTGTGAAATGTGATCTGAGCGTTGCAAATTAACCATGCCTTCGATTTGAATGTAACTATGCACTATAAAAATGGCTTACAGAGAGTGGTGGTTCATAGGATCCTATATTCTTTGAGTGAGGAATTATTACCATTATGGCTCAACTTGAGTTCGGCAAGTGGAAGAATACAACTACCCATGTTCCAGGGCTTACTGCTTACCATTAATTTTGAATGGTACTTGGATGGATCTTTTGAAACCATTCCTATGTATGCCATATCTAGAATCTTCCAAATTCCTTCAAACATTTAGATTCGGTTTAGGTTTTGATTTTTTCCCTCTCCTTCAATTTACATAATAATCTTTGAATACCTGAACATTAATTTCTTGTGAATACAACTCTAGGTTTGAATACTTCATTTGAGAGTGTTGAATTTTACTGTCATGGATGGAATCTGATGATATTTCTAACTTTTCTGAACCGTAGAGTATCAGTTCATGTTTTCTGGCTGGAAGATCATCTTTCGGTCTTTGAATGCTGCTCTTACAAGATTAGAAACTATAGGAAAAGAATGTTTTAAGATCGAAGTTCTCAAATGCTTCTTCATGTAGAAAAGTTCTCATTCTTCATGAACACGGTATTTACATCCTCTGCTCTCCTTCTCACCACGACTGCTCTTATCCAGCTACTGCCTCTGTCTGGCAACCCAATCTGTTCAGCTACTCACACTTTGGCAACCCAACTTTAGTGAGTGCATGTGTGATTTTCATTTTTCTTAATCTTTTATCTTAGTTTCCTTTCTTTTTCTTTTTTTCTTGGATTTTTGTTCTGTGGTTGCTCGAAACCACTGTTATTTTTTTATTACCTAGTTCCCACTGTTATTTCCGTTCCCTAGTTGCTTTTTGTATTTTTAATTCTTTTTTGCGATCAGTATTTTTTTTTATAATTTGGGCTTTACATTGTTTTTTCTTGACTTTATACTCTATATTTGTTCAAGGACCATGAGTTTTTTCTATAAATAATGGTTGGTGTATGAATTTTGAATGTTTAAATATTAGAATAACAGTCATTCTGCTATCCGACTTTTGAGGTCATCGTACTATCTTCTATCCACTATCCTGCTATCCCATTTCTGGAGTCAGCCTCACAGCTCTGCTATCCAGGAATGACAACTGTGGCCCAAATAGGTTTGGAGTGCTCTTAAGATTTTGGGTGGGAATCTAAAAATTATGTTAGGGACCCATGTGGTGGTATCATGCTCGAAAAGATGACCAAGTTTCACATGATATTTAAGCTAGCACTTGGGAGAAAAATGCATGTTGTTGGTAGTTTAAAAGTTTCAACCTATGGCATGCCTTATGTCTTATGGCCCTGATACATGATTAATTGGGAAAGGCTAAAAAAGCCTCTAAATGGTAAGGTAGGCCTCTGCTTAGTGTGTTATAGAACTTCTGCAGATATCTATTTCCTTTTGGAGTCTGTGGCATGTATAACTAGCTGTTCCTTTATATTTTCTGCTTAATCTTGCAAGAGTTAAAGCAAATCCATCGCAAGATTTCAAATGTTCTTCTTGTCCAAACATACATTGCTTTCCCTTGTTGATTGCCAATCTGAAAATTGCTTTTGTGCATTACATGTCATCTTTATAATAATTCCGTTACACATTGTAACATCATGAATGATTACACTTTATGTGCATTTGTTAACAGGTTTTCTGGGCATTTTCAATATACTTGGAAGCAGTTGCAATATTGCCCCAGTTGGTTTTGTTGCAAAGAAGTGGAAATGTGGACAATTTGACCGGGCAATATGTATTCTTTCTTGGGTATGCACACTTATGTTGAGATAGTTCTCTTTTTGAGATATGCATTTAGATATTGGTATCTTACACTATGTTCTCTTTTATGCTGTTTACTAGCAGAATGTCCTTTCTAAGTTATTGAGATAACTTATACTGACAATGGTGTATTCATATTTGCCATATTGAAATAGCTTAGAAATTAAACGTGTCCAATGTGATGTATTATAGATTATACCTCACTTTTACATGTTTGTCCTAACTTTTTTTATCGTACATGATTTGCAAATCCTGTTTATTGGTTTGAATTGGCACTTTTGCGTTTTTACTAGTTCCTTTCTTAGCATGCTTTACAGAATTTTCAGTATAAACGTCTCTAAATGTGGTGATTATTTTCAAACTGCAGTGCGTATCGTGCATTTTACATCCTGAACTGGATATACCGCTATCTGACCGAGCCACGATTTACTAGATGGATTGGTAATTAAGGCTAAAATTAAGAATTTCTTTTGGAATTATATGTTTGCATTAGTAATATTCTGACTTTCTTATTTTACAGCTGGCATATCGGGTGTTGTTCAGACAGCTTTATATGCAGATTTCTTCTATTATTACTTCATCAGGTAATGTTATTGTGAGTTAAGATCGAGCTTATTTCTCATTTTTACTATGCTCGTATGGCAAATAGATAATATAAGGAGTTTTGTTTCAGTTGGAAGAACAATTCGAAACTGAAGTTGCCTGCCTGAATTATGTCAAGTTTGTTTTGGAATTTGGACCCGGTGAGGTGAGACCAGTCAGTGCTAAATTTTAGAGCATGGTTTGGATGATGTTGAGGTTGAGAAACGGTATAGACCAACTCTTCTCCCTGTTCTTTAGTGGGGTAAGTGGGTTTTGTTTTTCTGGTACAAGGGTAAACGAACGGGTTTTAACTTGTGATAAATCTAACCATCGAAGCAATTCAAGTATAGGTTAAAATGGAAATGTTATGTGGCCATGTTTTGTATATTCAAGTCTCCATTGCATACTACTGTACATTAGGCTTATTAATGTTTTGTATAACCAAAATTCAGACGGATCGATGAGAAATTTTTAGTTAGGCTTATTAATCACATACCATGTAACATTAAATTACAATTACGAGCGATTTGAACATTCCACGTAATACTACCCATCTTAACTCCATGTCTGCTATAGTTATTATTTCAACTAAAAAGTCGCAACGCTATCCTCTACGCTTTTCAATTATCCTTTTTGAAATAGCAGTAGGCAAATCCCTAGTAGAATTTTAAATGTAGACCAAATTTAAAATTAATTTGAATGATAAATTTTCCAGGTTCTAAAGAACGTATTAGTTAGAATGGAAAAAGCCAGAAACTTAAAGAAGTTCAACTGCAATTTTGGTACCGCTTGTGTCTAGTTTTCTTTACGGTAAACTAAAACATCGACGAATTTGATTCATTCGTAATTTTTCGTGTTTCGTGAATAAGAGGACAAAACTAATTTATAATTGATAATATATAATCTAATCAATGAGAAAATAGATTATTTTTGGGCTACATTTTTTAAGTAATGATTTTATACTGGCGGCAGTTCAAAATAATCGTAAGCTTTAGAAATTGCGTACCACGATTCTAGTTAGTTTTCAATTATTTACTTTATTATTCTATATCCTTTTCTTTACTATTCGATTCATGTTTCCTTTTTATATGTATATCTAACTACATTGTAGACGTCAATGTTTAAAATAATTACAGCTCTGCAAAATTTGAAGTGAGATTAGTCGTAGTGAAGACTTCTAAATTTTTGAGTTTTCTAATATATCTTAGTTTCCTTTGTCTTTGCATGTTTTAATTTTGTTTTCTTGAAGATTTTAAATTTTTTTTTTATTCTCATTGAATATGTTTCTAAACTTTTCCAATAATTGATATTTGCACTTATATCATGGTTGTAAGTATCGCATGATACACTATTTGTATTACACGACATAATATAAATTGCAATTTCCACGATATGAATCATAGTAAAACTTATGTTTGTTCTCGAATCGTTGTTGTATCATTCGTATCACATTATAAATTGTATTAATTGTGATTCTAACAAGAAACGCTTCCTAAAGAGTTTATTAGAGTCTCATTTCAAAACAGGTTCACATGATCTGATTTGAAAAAAACTCTACAATCTTCACGAAAAATGAAGAGTGTACATGAAAGACGACAACCTTAATTTTGTCTCTTTCTTTTTTATTCTCTTTCGACCAAATGTTTTTTCTTTTTACTTTAACAAAGGAGTTGGGTCACAACCTATTTCAATCCAATCATTTAAAGTTAACCTAATTTTTTTGTGTGATTGTAATTAATTGCATTTTTATAATTTTTTAAATATTTATAAATCATATGATACAAAATAATTTAAGATATGAAATATAAGCTATTTAATACATAAACTGTTTTTGTATCTAGTGTATGTTTTATCGCATACTCTTGATGAAATCATTTATATGAGTATTAAGTAAGATTTTTGTGTGAGATCTAGACAAAAATCTCTAGAACACTCATGAATATTGAACACGTACATAACTTAGTATGAACAACATAATAATAAGAGTAAGAATTGATAAACTACTAACAGACTAGATATCTTTATTCTTATAATTTGTTATATTAGGTATATTATGTGTTAAGTTTATCAATATGATTGGTTTGTATAATTTGTTATACCATATCTAATGCATTCCATTTTATATAAGACTTTATTTTTTTCTTTCATCTTTTTATCTTTTACTTTTTGCAATATGTGAGGATTATGGGAGAATCGAGAATTCCAAAAAGTAGAGTATTTGGGAAAGTAGAGTGAATGTGCCTTTAATGTCTTCACCCATGAATGCATGACCACTTTACCTATAAATCGGTTGTCGTAAATCATGGAGGACATTCGAACTATTCAACAACTCTACCTTTTTGTGAATCACACGCAAAAGTTTTATCTTCTCCTTCTAAAGGTGCAGATCCGTTGCATAGGTGAGAGAGCTTCGAACCTCCTCTGCAAGATGCGGGTCATACTACGGATTTATATCTATGTATACAGGTTTACGTTGGATTCCTCTGTTGATGACCACATCTTCCCTTCTTATAAATACACCAATTTTCCTCCTACATAAACACACTACTCTTCTCTCTTTATTATCTTCTTTTTCCTTCCGTTAATTTCTCTTAAATCCTGGGTTTTAATAGTTTCTTACTACATTCTTAGTTCCTCAAAAATATTTGAAAAATTCTTATATCCTGAAAGACTTATACAACACACTCTGAATATAAATTCTTAATAGTAGTAACTATTCACGTCTTACGAAACCCATCTAATTCATGTTATCGTCATCTTTTACAACAGAAATGTGTGTGCAAGTCACTGCTCACCACACTAGTTATGTAGTAATTACATATTAGTACCATGAAGTGAGTAACACATCCAAAAGTGGTTTATAATATCAACAGAAAGAACCCTGTTAGATATATTATATCTTTTATCTTTTAGTTAGTTTGTTATTATTTCTCATTTGTATTTTGGGCTTAGCCCATATTTCTTCTATTATAAATAGAGAACCCTATGTGTGTATTTTACACAAGGGAGATTAATCTAAATATAGTTTTTCACTATATTCAACAAACCCAAAATACAAACATAGCCAGTATCATTCTGTTCTTATTCTTATCCCACAAACATCTAACATCTTTGCATGCTCTATGAAACACGAAGAGAGAAGAATATATCTAAACCTTGAACCAACCCTGAAAAGATGAAGAAAGTGCCTTTCTGCGACTGTGGAAGTAAACAAGCATGTTGTCTCTTGGGGGCAAGTTGTCCTTGATCACAGGGTGGCTCAGAAAATTGGTTATCCATGCAGTGGTGGCTGGAAATTTCAGTGGGTCCATTATCTGCATGGATCCAACTTCCTCAAAAACAGGAAGCCAGTAAGAGATCCATCCAAGGGCAAGGTCAAGGTACCCAATGTTGTCTCCTCCAAAAAACTTCTTTCCCTTTATCTCTTCTTCAATCTTCTCCATTGCTTCTCTAGCTACTTTCAGAGCCTCTTCCTTGTCATCCCCGCTGCTGCACATTGCAACCCATGATGTATCCAAAAGCTGTTATACACAGACAAACACAACCATTGAAAAATAAGTTTATAGTACATACACACATTACTGACAAAGAAAAACAACTTACTCAATAGTTTGATCCATGTGCATTCCAAAACTATGGTTGCTCTTACTTTCTCAATATAACTTCCCCTTTTCTCACATCTTCTTTACATTTATAGAATGTAAATTCTAGTTTTTAATAGTTGTTAGCTATCCTAAGTCAGTGAGACCTACTTTTGTTCACAAACTTCACCTTGTTTTGTTTTATGTTCAAAATTTCGATCAAGATGTGGATAATTCGGTCAGTATATTGATAAAGGGTAGACTAACATAACACAACAGCATGCTCGTTATTTTAATTCGAAAAAGTGATAATTAAAAAGTTTTAATCCAGAAAACAAAAGTAGAGAAAATTATATAAGGGAATTGATAAAGAAAGTACCTTTCGCTCACCAAAATCGGCCCAAAAGTGAACAAGTGCTCTTTGATAAGGATGTTGTGGCAGCAGTGGATACTGCTTCCAAATTTCATCAATGTATTGAAGGATGATGAATGATTCAGCGATGGGTTTGTGGGCATGGACCAGAACCGGAACCTTCTTGTAAACCGGGTTTAACTGGAGAAGGAGATTGCTCTTATTGAAGATATCTTCTTCTATGTATTCATATTCTATTCCCTTCAGCTTCAAGGCCCACTCCACCCTCTTCCCAAATGGACTCACCCAAAAGCTCACCACCTTCACTTCTTCACTTCCCATCTTCTTTCTCTCTCAACGTTTCTTCTCTCAACGTCTCATTAAATCTTCTGTCGGTTGGTTTTTTCCGTAATTTCCGCAAACTATGAATCCAATTTTCTTAACTCTAGCCGACAACTTTGAATAATATCGCCTACAAATTTAGTCAAATTTCAGTTTAAGTGGAAGACCTCCACGTGGGGTAACTCTGAAAGTTAAAGAAAGGTATTTGATGAAATGCCCAGAAAGGATGTTACTTCTTGGAATGCAAAGATTTCAGGCTTATGATCTCAGGGTTCAAGCCTTGTGAAGCTCGATGTGGAATCTAACTCTGAGCATCTTGAACAGGGCTCTGACTGTTACTTAATTACAGCGGTATGAATCTCGTGGGCAACCCTTCAATGAAAGAATTTTATCCTTGTAAATCACACACGAAAATGTCAGGTTTGAGGGACTAAATCACACATGCTCTGAAAAAAATATGATGAATTCTCAAATATGAGGGACTACATTTATTATGTTCTTTGAAACAGAAACCAAAGTTCATAGACAGAGCTATAGAGATTTTCACCACGTTTGATCAAAATAAAATATATATTTTTTTCTGTCAATAATATGTTGATTACTCACTGAACATGGGTTTTGATTGGAATATCATATCTCAGTACATGTTTCCTAACCTACCAGTATGCAAATTTTACTCATCCCTCTTCACCAATGAAAGGTACATGGGTCAAAGGGATCAAATGATCGTTTGACACCACAAGGAAATAATACATCATCGTTCTCGGTTGCAGAAAATGGATGCAACATGCTATTAAAAGACTCGTCTCTTCAAATGGAATATTAAAATATCATTTCTCACATATAATATATAATATGACTTTATGCTCACTCTTCACGGATAGTTAATGTAACAATACGAAATTGTAATTTTTTTAAATAATGAATTAATGAATCCATGCTTGTTAGAAATTGAGAGGATAATTTACTTTACGATGTTATAAGGAAGATAGGTTAAATTGTATAAACAAGAGTTTGATTGTGTTTTCAACGTTTTCCTTACAAAGTTTTTGGCATGTAATACTTACGCTTTAACAAAAAGTTGTATAAATATTTGTCTCGAAAACTTTTGTGAACACAGTATAAAGATATTGCTTGAAATACAACATTTAGGTGTTGTTCACTTCAATGAATTTGAGAGAGAGTGATTGAGGGAATTTAAGAGGATTTGAAGATAATCTTTTTTTGTTTATTTGAGTAAGTTTGGAAGTAAATGAGAATGAATTTGGACGTAAATCTTTTTAATCTGTCACGTCAATAAAATCTTAACTTTGCTTCCAAATTCACTCTCATTTACCTCCAAATCCACTCAAATAAACAACAAAAAAATATATCTTCAAATCCCCTCAATTACTCTCCTCCAAATCCATTGAAGTGAACAAGACCTTAGTAAATAGTGTAGAAGCAGAAATAGAAAAACAAATGGCGTATCAATGACAATATGTCTTATCAATAATATTTAGACCATATTTTAATAAACCAGTATATGGTAGGTTGAGGGAGAATAAGATGATAAAAGAAAAAAGGGAGAGAGAAATATAATAGAAATAAGAATTGTTTGGTTGAAGAGAAATAAAAAAAAAAGTGAAATATACTTTTATTAAGAAAAATTCCATTGTCTTCACAAATAATAAATTAACATTTATGTATAATAGATAATATTTAAAATTGTTAGGTATATTATCTTTATTTTTTATCTTTTATCTTTAGTTAGTTTGTTATTATTTCTTATTTGTATTTTGGGTTAACCCATATTTCTTCTATTACAAATAAAGGACTCTATGTGTATATTCAACACAAGAGAGATTAATTTCATACATAATTTTCACTATATTCAATAAAAAAACAAAATATAAATTAATGTGACACTAACTTTAACATTATTTGTACAATATTATACTCTATGTATCTCAAGACCATTTGATCCTATCAACTATAGTCTTGAAATAATTATCTAACTAAGACACCTATATCATCCACCAAATATCCAGTACTGGGTGTCTTGTAACTACTAGAACTAACAAGACAATTATCGAATATTTTGCAACAACTATCTATCAAATATAAAGGATTGTACCCTAAAGTAGTAAGTTCAATGTTACATAGTAGGTACCAATGGCTAATACTGAATACTATGTTTCCCAACCCAAAGGCTACATTCACTCTCTAATAAGCACGCTTCTCCTTCTGTTTCTCATCGGGACAGGGTATTGCCTACTGAAGGCATTCTCAATTAAGTAACTTAAAAAAAATAGTTGTAGTTTATTACAAGTAAATTGATCATTGGGTCTATAGTACTACTACAAAACATGTTTTTTAAGTCTATTATTTCAAACTTTTTAAATCTGTTATTTCAAACTTTTTAGGTCTATTTTACAATAGACTTAGACTCGGTAGACTTAAATTTGAAGTCTGTCGTAGACCAACATACTTAAAATTTAAGTTTGTTGTTGACCAACACACTTAAAATTTTAAAATTTAAGTCTGTTGTTGACCAACACACTTAGATCTTTGTACAATTGTAAAAAAACAAAAATTTTATTTTTAACATTTTATTTGTTTAATCATTAAACCAAAACCTAGACAAAAAATCAAATTATCAAATAAATTCACCAAAAATCACCCAATGATTATAAATTAAGCTTAAAATAAAAAATATTAAACATATGAAACTATATATTTTAACAATTCATTTTGATTTTTAATATAAATTTATTGAAATAAATACTTTTAAAATTACCCAAATTTACATGTCTAATATATGAAATTAGAAATCGTTAATTGAATAAAGTTATTTTATGTTGAACATGAGAATCAACCGACTTACTTTATTAATCTTCCCCATCAAAATAAAAGAATTAAGTTGTTAAAATATTTATTTTCATTTCAGCACTCAAGGGTAAAGTTTTATGGAGTTCTTTTTCTTTCCTCTTCCCTATGATATCTAATCATTAGTATTTTTCTAAGTTTACTATTATGCTCACCTCTTTAAACCAACGATACAAATATTGTGTATTAAACCAACGATACAAATATTGTGTATCTCAAAGTTAGCCTTCAGCCAAAAAAAAAATATTGCTAAGAATTTGGTTTAGGTTAAAGTTCATTGATTAACAAAAGTAAATATTAATTTTATGGTTAAATATGTTTTTGGTCCCTTAAGTATCACACGATTTTGGGTTTAGTTCCTACTCGAAACTTTGATTGCTTTTAGTCCTCATAGTTTTGAAACTATTATTATTAGTCCTTAAAATTGAACGACGTCAACTTTTGTTTGATGTGGCAAACGGCAAGGTCACGTCTTATGCCAGCTTGCCTCTTCACTCTCTGCCACGTTGCTTGTGCTTGAACTTCGTTCATCTTCTTCGGCAGAGCAATCACGGTTTTGCTTCTCGTGCACCATCACCCCAATCGCGCAACAACCCAAGCCGCAGATCAAGCAAGCATCTCCATTCTTCACCTGCAAAGAATCCAAACAGCGGAGCCCTTTTTCTTCCTCGCGAGTCATCCATGGTATTCCCAGAATCACCTGAAACTCAGAAAAATCCAGAAAACGCGAACCCCAATCGCAAATCGCACCGTGCCGGAAGACCGAGTTCGCTCCGACCAATCGAGAACCACGGCCAAGCGAAATCCCAAATCGTGCATGCTGCGAAGAACCCTAAATCGCCTAAGCCTCTTCGTCGCGCCTTCATCTTGCAAGCTCCCCTGCACCAACTCAACACGAATGTTTTCCATGTAGAATTGTTGTTTGTGACATGCTAAAACATGGCATGCTTTTTCAACCTCTTCAGTGAGGAAAAGAAAACACAACTACTTGTAGAAGTTGTCTTTCATGCTAGTGTACTGTTGTTTACTTGAGGAAGAATGTCTCTCTGTGCTTTTTATTTTTTGGGATACAATTGTATGTGCATTTTTCTACAACTTTCGTTACTTTCATGATTAATTGGCTTCTTATCCTCTATTCTCTAACCTGCAAGTAGTAATTAATTACCCCGTGTTTTAGGGGTCGACTTAAATCACCATGGTCACAAAGGAGAAGAAAACACGCTCTGTCATCTCATCAATGGAAATCCTTGTTTACAGAAGATGGTAAATTCTATGATGGTGGAAATAAGTTCCTTGATTGTACTTTTTCATCATGTATATATTTGAAATTTATTCAGATAAAATTATTACAATTATTGATTATACTTTAAACATACAGGTATGACTTAGGCAACACCAAGGGTGAAAGAGATGTTATAAGAACTCAAAATAGGTGGGAATGCAAGTTCTATCTCCAAATGTTTGATTCATTTTATTGCTTGTGCTCAACCCATCATGTACTGTTAGACTTAAAATGTATATTGTTTGGATTTTTTCCTTCCTGGGAGGGGTGTTAACATCATTTTAATTTTATTCCATATCTTTATACACAGAAAGCAGTATGAGAAACTCCGCAGACAATGTCAGAGACTCATCAAGCAAAGTAATGAGCAAAATAAGTTAAATGAAGTCGGTGAAATCAGCTTTGAGGGAGATGGTAAACTTCTGTCTCAAGATTCTGGTTCAGCCAGTTCTGATGATGCAGCCAGTGCTAGGGAATCTCTTTCTAGTGAGGATAGAAGCTCTAATGTTGACCGTTCCGACAATCTGTCCAGTACCCTGTTGGAAGGAGAAGATGTGAATAATGTTGATGCCTCTACATTGGATACTGATTTCTCTTATTCGGACTCCTCTGAAGGTCCTAAAGTAATGCAGGCAGTTCCTTCTGATGATGTTAAGGAACATACCAATCGAGACAAAGCTTCCTAGGAAGTATCTTCTACCACAAAAGCAAAAATCCCATCAACGCGGAAAATCCTTGCAAGCCGTGACATCCTCCCTCGCATCATCATCGTCATCTAGATGCGCCGTCAACAGACCTGCAAATCCGAAAACACGACAGAAACTCCATTCGTCACCTGCAAGAGAGCAACCCTTTCCTTCTCGCGTTCTTGACTCATGACAACGTAAGAAAGAAGAGAAAAATTGTGGCGCAGGTGTAGGGGCAAGTTTCCCTAATCTAGCAAACCCTAATTTGGGGTGGAAGGGGGCTGACACGTGCCAGATGCTTAGTGGCCAGATAAAAAGAAAAACAACGTGGCAAAGACTAAAGAGGCAAGCTGACATAAGACGTGGCCTTGCCGTTTGCCACATCAAACAAAAATCAATTAAACCTCACTACAACAAATGAAAAAAAAAGTATTATCACAAATTCATAAAAAATGTCTAATATCTGAAATTAGAAATTGTTAACCGAATAAAATTATTTTATGTTGAACA